AACCCTCATGTTCCACGATTTGGAGTTAATTATTGGTAAAATGGGAATGTTCATTTGATTAAGGACTCATGCGAAAATTTGAGTGATGTACAAGTGGTTGTATGCTTATGTTAACGTATTTAAATATATCACTAGAATGTGATGGGTTTGTAGGCATGTAAGTCGTTTTATTCTATTTGTGTGAAGGATGGTGTAAGTTGGAAAATAGGCATTGCGATCACTATGTAATTTCCAAATCATCTTCTAACTTCCACTCGGAAATAGGCACTGTGATTATTATGTAATTTCCGAGATAAATAGCTTAAGATCACGACTGACTACATGATTATGTTAGGTTGATGTCAATGGTATTATACCTGTAAGTGATGCTATATAACGTTGATCTATGACTTACTTTGTGTTCCGTCATAATTAACGGTAAATCGGGTCTCCCCCGTCATCTTCGGATGTTTTGACTCCACCCCAAGACTTTGTGAACTAATTATTCATCCAGTATCGTTTAAGGTTAGGTTGTATTTATAAATATATGTATAGGGGTTTTAAAATTTATTTATTTCACTGTTTGGACTCACTAGGCGTAAGTCTAACACTTCTTATATTGGTATGTATATCAGGTTTCTTTAGCGGCGGGGCTTCAAAGGGTTGAGAGGAGCGTTAGATGGTGAAAGTTTATTTTTGGAACTAGCCTTCGGTGCTTGAGCGTTGCATCGGTAGACGTTACATAAATTTTTGGAAGATGAGAGGAACACCCGTACTTAATCTAAACGTAGAATTATTTAGATTAATAGGTTGTTTTCATTGTCTCATTTGTCGTTTCTTGTGTAAACGCTACACTTTTCCCCATTGTTGGGTGATTTTCTTTTGAGACTTAGTTTTCGTCAAGTTCTTGTTTGGGTCCTAGCTACCTTATGAACACACACACACACACACACACACACATATATATATATATATATATATTATGTTCTTTTAACTAGACTATTCCCCCTTTTTTTAGGGTGTTACAGACAACCATTAAACGCCAATCACAGTCCGAAGCAGAGTGACACATCGCCTCGTACCGGTGTTTGGTTGATTTCTTAACCTTGATCTGAAAGTTTTCATAAACGCATTTTAATCCCAATGCGAGTTTTAGTGCTTCATTCGAGTAAAAGGTTTGGAGAACTTTGACATAGGATGTAGGCTGGTAGGAAATGTTTCCCTGTCTAGTTTTGGTAACAGGGTCTAGGCAAAGGTGTTAGGTCAGGCATATCCAAAACTATTCCTTACCGGATGGATTTCTTCAGCATCAGAGTTATTGTTTTCGGGTATATTCAAATTTCTGCAGCAGCAGAAACATCTTCAGCCATATCTACCTCCAACAAAGTTTTTGACTGTTCTAGAGATTGGATGAGGTATGGTTTTGGAGACTGTCTCAAAGACATGTTCAAATCTTGAACCAAATAACTGTCATGATCAACAATATTTTTTGTTTCAAAATATGAATTTCCACCAACACTACCGGGGAAGAAAGTGCTTGGATTTCCTCCACTGCCACTACTGGGGAAGAAAGTGCTTGGATTTCCACCAGTACCACAACCAACCGGGGTAAAAAGTGCTTGGACCATATGGGTTTGCACCACTACCGTCGGGAAAGAGAGTGCTTGGATTTCCACCGCTAACACCACGGGGGTAAAAAGTGTTTGGACCGTCGAGTAAACTTTGATGGATTACGACACTTGATAGATTTCCACCATAACCACCATCGTCGACCACAAAGAGTGTCAACATTTCCGGCAAACTTTGATGAATGACATTATGGAATATTAGCACATCGTCGTCATTGCTTAATTGATATAATATTTGTAAGGAATTCGTTTTATTAAAATAAAATGAAAGGAGTACGTAAACTTAACTTTTTCGTAACACGTTTAACGATACCAGAATGTGTTATTGGTGAAGGCAAACGTAATACATGTTCGGGGGAGCTTAACGGAAGGTACTCTAAGACACCATTTATCTCTTGGAATGAACCGCCAGTTCGAAGATACACCAAAACATCATCACTTTGACGTGATTTCATATTTGTGTTTAAGGGTGATGAGTTGTGATGATAGATTGTGTTTAATGAGTTAAGGGTTAAGGATTGTGACGGTTTATTGTGTTGAAGGGTTAAGGGTTGTGAGAGTAGAATATATGAGAATAGAAATGAAAGAGGAGGTGTGAAAAATAATGAAATAGGAGGTTGATATTTATAATGAAACTTGTTGCACTAAAAGACGAGATAAGATTCAACCCAAAATAAGCATGGATCTCCCCTGGGGGAAGATCCGGTGAGATAGGGGGTGATCCCATATATCGAGGCAAATAGTGTTTGGTTTTTTAAAGTAGATACATGTGGACCCCACAAATTAGTTTTATATTATTTTTTTGTACTTTTCGTACTATTTGGTCAATTTTGAAGAGAATCACCCCCTATAGTCAAACCATGCCCCCAGGGGCGATCCATATATTTATTTTGGCAATTTTGGTAAAAATAATTATTTCGTTAATACATCAAGTATATTCTGGTTGTTTTGGTGATTTTTCATATAATTGGTGCTATAAAATGGTTCTTTAATTGATTGGTAAAATGACTAAGTTGTCCCTTAGTTAACGAATTTCTTTAACGTTGTTCAAGCAAGAGACTTATATCGTAACAAAATGTAAACCATGGGGATGTTGAATGTATTTATTTTGAAAGAAGGACGATATCTAAATTTTGAGCAAAGCAAAGGGACCAACGATGCAATTTACTTTTTTTTCCTTCTAAAATTTCAACTTTTAATTTTTGGTTTTGGAAAACTGCTCTTAATCTAAATCCATTAATAAAAAAATAAGAGTAGATTACCAATTTAGTCTATGTTGTTTGCCAAAAATAACACTTTTGTCCCCTATAAAATTGACAATTACAAGATAATCACCATAGTTTGTAAAAACGTTCAAATTTGATATCTTTTTTAACGACCATTAAAAAAATCATTAAATAAAAAGCATTTTTGTTCTTTTATTGATTAAATGAACCAAATTTAAATACTTTTACAAACTACGATAATCATCTTATAGTTTCAAAACTATAATACAAAAATAGTTATTTCTCACAGAACCATAAGGACCAAATTTGCAGTTTACTCAAAAAGTAAAATAAAAACAAACGGAGAGCCCTGGGTCTGTAATATCCTACGAATGCGATTGGTCCTCGATTATATATTACTAAAAGGCTACTCTACTTCCCTTTATTTGTACTGCCAAGTCCACCACCACCACGACGCTCTCTGCTTTCTCTTTCTTCCTACGGTCTGAACTCCTGTTACCAGATCAATCAACCCTTTCCTAGGTTTTCCTTCTGTATTTTCTATGCTGATCTGAGCTCTCAATTCTACCCAACAAGCACACAATATCACGCACACACCTCGAGCTAAGCGAGCCGTCAAAACCCTCGAAGTTGCAAAAAGTATTCCATCTCTAATTTGTCTTCAGATTATCTCACGAATTAGCTGAAGATTGCTGCCATTTGAGCACAAGTTCTCTCCGTTGGTTCTAACAATCAGGGACATTAATTGGTTTTCAATCATTTCTGCTAGTTGGGTGTTTTTTTCAGGTCAATGCACTGCGTGGGTTATACGAGAGATTGCGATTAAATTGATGAGTGAGGGTAGGAGATTTCGTGCAATTAAGAAGAAAAATGAGGTTGATTGTTACGGTAGAGGCTGGTACGTAGGCCTGGATTGCGTGGTTTTTTGATTTTGTTATTGCAGAATTTGAGGATGACTTCAGATGTTAGTAGGGCGGGTGGGCAAGTTGAAAGGGACATTGAGCAGGTAAGTCAATTATTACATTCTCTGAGCTTCCGGATATTATGGTCGGGTTATCGTGTTTAATTAATCAAATGCATTTAATGTGATCTCAAGTCGATTTTTACTTACCTGTAAGAATGATTAGTTATGTTTTGACTTTTGAGGTGTAGTTATGGTGCAGTGAGGCGTGGCCTTAAATTTGTGTTTGTGCTATTATAGAATGGACAATTTATAAGCATCCTATAACTGTGTTTAGCTTTCTGAGATTTTCTAGCCAACTTGAACCATTGTTAATCACCCTAGGATGATTTGACTATGTTTCGAATTCAAGGATAATGCAAAGAAGTTGGAACATGATGTATGCCCTTGTGCTGCTTAATGATGGACTTTATGTTTCTTTCATTTTTCTATGCTTTCTGACAAATCGGTATATGATGCTGGTGGGTGTAACAATCAGTTGAAGAAGTAAGCAGCATTTTAAAATAATATATGCTACTGTTAGTTTCTCTCTTTTATCTTTCTCTCTATTGTTTATGTCTTGTCTCAGCTGACTACACAGCTGTGTTATATAGAACGGTAGCTTCTTGCCTTTTCTATCATTGCATACAGCATTTTCTCCAGTATGCCGTTAAGGCATGAAGGATGTTGTTCACTTGCATTAACAACACTTGAATTTCTTGTAAAGATACATGCCATAAGAATGATTTTGTTTCCGTTAGGCTGTGGATAAATAAGCAAGGAGTTGTGAGTGAGTGTTAGATTTACATCTTCATGGATCCTATCTCTTTATATTTGAGGTTCATACCATATTCAACAAATGATATTATGTGACCCTATCCAAGTGTTGACTACAGGTGTTATGAGGCTTATATCAATTCTTTCTGATGCAAGCTTTGCTGTCTATTTGCTTATGTAGTTGAGTGATCAATTGACTTCCTTTTCCTACATTCAAGAATATCTAAAATATTATAATTTGGCAATGCAGAAGGCGTAAATTTTAAACAGAATTTAAAATGACAAAATGAACAATTTATATGAGCAGAAAATATATATGTGAGATGCCTTTAAGTGATGTACAATAATGTATTATTATACATAGGCGCGTAAGTACACTACCAAACAATCCATCCGAAGAAATGACTAGTAGTTCAATCACAGCCGAACTTATCTATTGCTGCAGTGACCACCGTGAAAGGAGATCGGCGGAGACGACCACCTTGAGAGATCGATTGGCATGGAAGAAGCCCACTATGAGAGGAGATCGGTGTGGGAAGATTTGCATGGGAGGAGATGGCTGGGAGGGAGAGACCGATTGAAGGGGAAATGTGGAACAATGAGGGATCTGAACAATTTGGCAAAGCCCTAGATAAAGAATTATCAAGAGGGTATTGGCATCATTAAGAGGTTCAATCTTTTTGCCAAACAACACTACCTCTGCGCGATTCAAGGGCTGCCTCTTAATGGTACCATTAAGATGCAAACACACCCCCTTAATGAAACTCATGTATCCACCTCCCATCTACATGACCACAAACAATATTTTATCTTTTAGAGAAAGTGTTTTCCTTATGCCCGTCTTTATCCAAATTTAACTAAAAATTGCATTTCTAAGCCAACAATCAACCATCAACTGTAGGAATTCAAAATCACAACCTTTAATCTTTTTTCCACTGCAGAAGCACCAAATGAATCTTAACACTAAACCACAAGGGTGGTGCCTGATTGGTTTGAGCTTGGCTCCAAAGGTCAAAAGTACCAGGAGGTCCTAGGTTCAAATCCAAGGAGGAATAAAAATCCGCTTGTGGTCACGGAGGTTCAAATGCGGTGACTCCGGGCTATCTGCAAAGCAAGTGGTCGCCCTAGGATTAGTCGGCTCGCATTGCGGGTTGGATATCCAGGTTAATAAAAAAAATGAATTTCAACACTGTTTGATAAGAGGCAACATTTATGTAATGCACGTGCAAACATAAAAATAGTAATCATTGTTCAAGGTATATGTGTATATAAAGTTATATGGGAGTCTGTAACCACCACATCTGTAGCCATCCAATTTTGATCCATCACCCTCATAACACTGCATGCTGTCAAGCTTGACCCGCCATGAAATCACCATTTTGCTCTTTATTTAGTTTCTTTTTCCCTTTAATAGTGTGGGAGGCTTATAAACCCATATAGGATTTTCTACACATGCCTAATGTACCCCCATACAAATATATTGTTGTATGTGAGAAAAATGTTGGAGCGATTGAGAATATAGGTTTATGCTAGTGTATTTGGGAGTCCATATTTATTTTTTGTTGGATGTGAGAGTGCAAGGCATTGAGTGAAACACAAAGACTGGAAATGGAGAAAACTTAAACCTTTGCAAGGCTAATAGGCCCATGTTATTTTTTTTTAAAAATCTGTTCATACGTGAGGTAGTTATGCTTGCATATAGTTTAGGAGTGAAATAGTCACGCAACCGGTCTATTTTTATGCAGGATTATGTATACTGCATGTTAAAATAATGTCAAATACACGAACTATGATGCGTAACAGTAAATACAGAGAGGCTCTACACGTATGCAAGGTTATAAATGACATGAGACGTGGCGTGGGGTGAGGTCAAGCCTCAAGACTTACGAGTTACGGCGAGGCCACGATGTTTTTCAAGGCGTGCCCTGAGGCGACATATACGAACATCCTTGTATGTGTTAGTGTTTTAAGTAGTACTTTAGAACAAATTAAATTCATATAAAGTAATGAAACTAAAAAAGAAAGAAGAACTATTGATACGAGATATATAGATCTTACATAAAATGATATCAAGAGTGCAAAATCGGGATTAAATCTCTTGAATCTCTACTCACTACTTTTTTCAATTTTCAAAGAATTTGTGTTCGACTTTTTGTGTATGGGAATGTGGGCAAGTATTTACCTATTTAAGGTTTTTGTTTTTAAGTTTCTTTTTATGTTCATTTAAGTCCTAGGTCTCGTACATAATTATTATTTATCGCTCAAATTATATATTGAAGTAACCCCACACCTTACTAAGTAAGGCGCCGTGACGTGCCATAACGTGTTACAGTGCAAGCCAAGCGTTATAATGGAGCCATGGGGGTTAACGTGGCAGCGAACCCAAGCCTTGACGCCATAACGCGCCATAACGAGGTTATAACGAGTTATTTAGAACCATGCACGTATGTATGTGTACAGAGTCAGGTTCATACGAGAACAATAACAAAATAAGAGAACAACAAAACGGTCGAATCACATGTGATTTTACACTAAAAGTACATATAAAATCACATGTGATTCAAGCGACTTTGACCGCGACCACACCCTTTTGTTGACCGTTAATGTAAAATCACATGTGATTTTGCACGTGATTTGGCCGTTTTCATATTTTCTTATTTAGTTATTGTTCTCATTTGAACCTCCATGTGTATATACATATATATATATATATATATATAGCGAGAGAGAGAGAGAGAAATTGTAGTCATGCCTTTCATGGCGCTCGACCATCAATTAATTTTTTTAGTATTCATTCTGCCCATAGCGTCTGACTTCCCTTTAGTGGTTCTCCCAAATTTGAGATCCGATATATTAACCTATTTCTTTTTCATGTCTTCAAAGTTACAATGGTATTAATGAGCTTCATCTGAAATGTGGGTACAATGGTTGCTAAAAGGTAATACACTGTAGTATACAATATTATGCTTCAGTAAAAGACGGGCATACCAAATTCAGAGCAATGTTCAATGAGGGGTTTACATTTTCGTGTAGAATTAATTTGAAACTACAGTCAATCATTAATGATGGGCCTACCTTTCCCTTAATGTGCTTTCTGAAGTATGAGATTTCTATTGCTATCTACTATTCCTTAGGTGCATGTATTCTTCTTGTAATATTAACAAGTGACATTAGCTATGAATGAGGGAGTACAAATTTATAAATCATTTTTGATTCATGAGATGCCGTTTTCTCACGGTATAAACTATCATAAAGCTGGTAGATAAGCATTTCTAGCTCTTACAATATAGAATAAGCTTGTGTAAGTTAATTATAAACATTTCTACTCAAACAATTATACCTGAAATAAACTTGGAAGTAGATAAATATTTTAATTTATTGTCATGGTGGCGTTTTGTACTCAACCAAGCTTCATCAATTATGCGATGTTGTAGCCAACTTAATAATATCTCCTTAAAGAGCATAGTATTGTTGTGATGACATGATTTGCTACTTAAGCTTATGTTCAAGATCAATGACTATTTCAAATAACCAGATAAGGTAAATGAAGAAGATTAGCCACGCAAATATAGTTCAAACTTGAATTCAAATGAAATAATAAAAATAACCCACAAATTGGACAGAACTGCCATACTACTATTCTGTTACCATGGATGTCGTTCCTGTGACACAAGTAATAGTTTCTATATGTGTGTGTGTGTGTGAGTATATTTGGTCATTGCTTAACCAAATATGATTCACCATCAACTTGCATGGATAATCTGGGATGTGAGTTCATGAAACGGTCATAAAAAGTTGAATTAACACCTTATTTTGTAGTCTTTTCTCTTTGAATTCAAAGGATGTATTGACTTATGCACTAATTATTTTCTAGACTGATCAATCATATTATTCAACCTGCCATTCCTTCTGCATGGAGTATTAAATCTCAAAGCTTGTATATGAAATACTATGGCATCATCATTACATATGTTAAACTGTCGGTGTTGAATTGATGACTAGAAATAGTATATTAAATTAACTTCCTGCTGACATATAATGTGATTGGAACTGTTTTAAACGACCTAATATTCTCAGAAATGTGTAACTACTACAAGAAGATCGAAATATATATGATGTTATACTTGTCAGGTTGAATATTGACGTCCGGTAATGATTGATAAAATCAACTTTTTTCATTTGTAAATTCTGCTAGTAACTGCTATCAGTTCCCTAACAAGTAGTGATACTTCTGTCTAAGCTATATGGTTTTTTACATTCTGATGGATGTTTAGATGCATGTTTTATGATCGCTATTTGTAGCAGAAAATGTGGTGAATTCTGTTTTAACTTAGCTTCGAGTGATATTTATCACAGGCCATTACCGCTCTTAAGAAAGGGGCTTATCTTCTCAAGTATGGAAGAAGGGGGAAGCCTAAGTTTTGTCCCTTCAGGCTGGCTAATGTAAGTTTGACTTTTACCTTTTTATGATCAAGTACCTCCAAGAGGTTTTCTTATATTTAGTATTTTTATTATATTTCCAATTTAATATATTTTATTTTTGTCATGACATCTACTCGATCTTTATCCTATGTTTTTCCTAGTATGACCCTATTTCTACCTTAACTACTGTATCAAGGTTTCCGTAATCAAAATTGCTGTTTTGATGCATGCTACTTAGTATTTCCTTGATGAATTTAGCATAAAAGTCACGTAAGTATTTCCGTAATCTTTCTGCATCTGCCACTTTTATAGAGAAAGAATAGATGCATTTGAATCACTATGCTTCCTTTTCATCATCTTTTAAACAAATTGGACAGTGTGTGGTCTTAAATGATAAGTAATATCAATCTCTTTGTGACTGGGGTAATCAATGGTTCACTATTCGATTGATGCTGATTTTTCTCTGCTATTTCAGGATGAGTCCATTCTCATATGGTTTTCTGGGAAAGAAGAAAAACACCTTAAACTAAGTGATGTCACCAGAATTGTATCAGGGCAGCAAACTGTAAGTAATTTGCTTTGCCGATTTTATTTTGCGCAAGAGCAATTATGGTCATTTGAGGGGAAACAACAAGAACTCTTCATTTCAAGAAGGAAAAATTGGCATCAAAACTATTTATCGAATACGAGAAACTAAGACCCTTGAGTGACTTAAAAATAAAATTTTAATTATATTAGTAGCTATTTGGATATTTAGCTTTTTATACTAAATTGTGAAATAGTAAACAATGTATGTTGTAGGCAAACAATATATATACACTCTTATTATCTGAACCACAGAATGAGTTAAAGTATGGATTCATGGGTTTGGATATCAGTAAATAACAATTGATGCATAAATGGTTCCTATTGAAACTATAACCGGACCAAAAGGACTTGTGTGTTCTCTGGTTAACCCTTGTATGTTGTAAGGTTATGTTGGCAAACTAACTGATAAGCTAGCTGATGATTAATCACGTTTGCATAACAAGCTAGTTGGAAAATGTAAAATGACCAAAAAGGACATGTAAAAAATTAGTCACTTTTAACATTTGATAATATATATAAACAAATAACTAATGATACAGTATGTTAATTAATTCAAACCAGATGGTAAAGAAAATTAAATAATATAATATGTTAACTAATAGAATTTTAATTTGATTATTATTATATATAATATT